ATGAGGAACATTAAGGAACACTGCATCAACTGTTCTCCTTTTCCATAAATTATTTGATTTGGTAAATGGGGCAAGAAGCACAAAACATAAAAGCCACAAGGGGAAAGTTAAGAAAAGTCGCTACATCATCAGTTGAATTGTATTGATTATTTATATCTTTGTGACAAAGAATCATCAGTTAGTTACTTCGATAAAAAATTGGATTGTAACTATAGGAGTTTTCAAAGTTTGTGGCAATTCAAGTAGGAAAGAATTTGCCTCCAATAACAAAAAAAAGCACTTGCACTTGTAAATTTACACTGAAACATAAAAAGAAAATTATTAATGGTTTAAATTTATTTAAGTCAACATGTACATAAAACCAATAAAGATAAATTTTCAAAGTTCTAAGTGGATCCTATTTCTACTACGGGCTTCTAGGCTGAAGCAAATGCATGCCTTTGCCTTAGATTAATTTAGAAAACTAAATGTCACTTTCAATTCTTGAGTATGGAGTGTAGGTGTAGAGTACAAGGAGGACGAAGGAGGACCATCTCCTTAAATGAAAAGTGTCCCTAAAAACGCGTCCAATAAGGGTGGCGCTGCAGTAGCATAGGATAAATTTAAAATAAAAGCGCCAAAATTAATCAGAATAAGATGGAGAAATAAACAAGGACCGACCAATCCGCTTGGTTTTGTACTACGTAAATAGTTGAGATTTTGTATACTGGCATTTTACTTACTACTCTAGTCATGAAATTTTTTAAATATTTGAATTCAGCTGGCTTCACTCCGTTCACAGCAGCTATATTCATATCGTAGTATTTCAGACGCCAGCGCTATTGTGGTAGGTTTTGGAACCTCTATTTTCAGTAAATAGTAGGACACTTTTTCAACTTTCGCGTCTTATAAGATGGTTCTCCTGGTACTCTACACTCCATATTCTTGAGGCTCGCTTTTGGCTAATTTCTTAATACGGAAGTCGGTCGCCTGTGTGCCTGTGTGCCTGTACGCCTTGTGGTCACGAAGTCACGAATTAGGTATGGAGCACACACTAATAAGTAGGGAGTATTGCGGGTAGTTCACCAATTAAATCAGGCAAACGTTATAGACCGTACTGCCTTATTTGATATATGAATATATATATATATATATATATATATATATATACCATATAATAAAGCGGAAGAGTTTTTTTTATTGATAAGCATGCTAATATCTGGAACTACCACATCCTATTTAAAGTTATTTTTGTGTATGATAGACAGATTCATGAGAAATAGTATACATAAGCTATCTAGCATTAGGCTACACCTCTAAACTAGCCTTAAATATTACTTTGAAAGAAAAAGCGCTCCAGAACTGCTTTATCCAAGTGCGGTGACGTAATGATTAGTGAGACATAAATACAATGTTCTACAATAATATTGATGTTTACGCCACAAAAAAAAGTCAGCGATACAATATTCCTATTTCTTAGACATAAGCCCCAATAAGGTATTTTGTGACAAAGGATTATTGAAAATCAAAAAGAGATTAATGAGCGATAAATTATAACAATTTGGCATGGTGCATGGCTTATTAATCCTTACGAACGAAAGTTACTTCATTATAAACATTATTTTATGAAGATGTTATTTGGATGCATAGTTTAAGAGATCATTGAAAATCAAAATAGATCATAATATAAAATAAAACTTAAATTGAATATATTACCATTATACCATACATGAAATTTATATAGTAAAATGAATAAATAAAAATTAATGAATGAATATTTATTTAAAAACCCAACCAGAAGTCCTTGGCAGAAGAGACCGAACGGCTGAGGGTGGTTAAGGGGGAAAGGGAAAAAAGCCAGCGGACAATGCGGGTAGTATGTAGGAGCACTGCCTTCTACATTTGAGCCCAGAGCGGTCCATCATGGAGTCCCAGTCGCCTTAGATGACCCAAAAGGCTGACCGGTATTAGCCTGTTCGCAGAAACGACTACAAGAATAATTTCACAGTCACTATAGTCTGCTTTGAGGCATACTTTATAAATCATAGATATAGTAATAAACTCTGTAAAAAATGGAGTATATACTATATCTATGTTATAGATCTTGCCTACAAAATTTTAAATATTTGAAGGCAAAAGCATTTACGGCCATACAGACTTTTCTGACGTGCATTTTTATCACGAAATTTCTTTCAGTGTTTCGGTGCTTATTAGAAAATAAATATGTATATTAGAAAGCGTTTTGGAGATTTCAACAACAGCTTAACTCAGTGCACAGTTGATGACAATAGAATACTGTCATATAATCAAAGTGCTTAAGTGAAACAATAACTTGAGGTTTAAAAACTAGTTTGAAAAGTGTTTATAAACATCGATTCTTTTACTATTAAATAATTTAAAAATATGTTCACTAAAATATCAAGTATACATTTGTATTCGTATATTCGTCATACATAATAATCTATGGTATTAGGGGTTTTGGCGTTGAAACTAACTTGACTCCAGCGGGTTTTTGCTTCAGATCTATCGGTTGGATAACGGATTGAAGCGGATTTTGATACATAAAAGTAGTGCTATATAAAAGTAGTTGCTATAGAGAGGCATTCATCGGCTCTTGTCCTTGAATTAAAGATGGTTGATATATATTTTAACTGTTAAAATAAACAGTAAAAAAATTTACAAATTTATTAAATAAATACAATTAACCATAACGAATAAAATTATCATATTTCAGTCCATTCATAACAATGCACGATCGATTTCCTACCTTACTGATTTATAATTTTATATTAAATTAGCCGTATTTATGCCATCTAGCGTCTTATTTACGTACCATCTTAAGAGTCAATTAACTTTCGTTCGATAAAACGACTTTAATATCTGTAGAATGGAGTAGATGTTGGTTTACAAACCAATGTTATTCGATTTCTTATATTTACGCGAAGACTAAGCCAGTCAAGCTGACTTGAAGCACTGACGTTCCGGGAAGTCTGCAGTGTGTGAACATGTTCTAGATCGTCCCCGCCATAACATTAGATTTGATAAACCACAAATCCTCGCAAAAGAACACCGATTCCTACCAAGGATGATGATTGATGAAGATGGATGGGTGCTGCCATCTGTTTGGGATCCTATAATTAATAAAATTAAATCCGAACCCAAGCATACCACTTCAAGATACTGTAAGCTCATTCTGCGTAGATCGGACCAAAAATTAATATTCAAAAAACTGAAGGTAGCTGGGCTAACTATGACATCGAGACGTAAAACAACTCAGTCCCCCCCCCCCCCACCCCCCGTGACCACGGGTGCTGTAAAGCACCCGAAACGTCGCAAATTAAAAAGTTAAATTGAACGCGATAAAATCCGTAAAGATTAGTTTCATTTAATGTTATTCGAATGAAAATATTCCTTAAAAACATCAATACATATATTCTTTTGATATATTACATTAAAATTTAGGCTTCACTTGTCTAAAAATAAGCATTGTAATAATTATTTGCTATAAAATTAAGTTTAGGCCAACATTCTGTTAGGCTTTTTTATTTAATCCTGTTTAGGCCAACATTAAATATTTTGAGAATTGCGTTATAATCGCTTGTTAATAGCTTCGCACGGTAGCGAGGTCACATTCCCCCCCCCCCCCCCCCCTGCGCCGATATTCCTTTCCAGCCGACGGACGAGATACGCCTCGAGTCATTGTAAAACGCTTTCGGTAGGAACGGACGTTTTCTGGTTTTATCACTTAATTTTTTTTCACGAACGGAGTTAAAACTAGTGCCGCTGTCGTGAGCGGGAACACGTGTTGTTCTTTACGGAATTATAAATTCAGTTAAAGCAATTGTGCAATTTATATAGAGATTTCGTTGAGGTTCCTTTTTTTGACTGTGCCGTTACGCGAATAGACTAAACTAGTGCCTCAAGAAGGGAATTGTTCCGGGGCTACAAGAGACTACCTTTTCCAAGACAGCGTCGTGTCATCTCGCCCAGGCCACTTACACACAGTCTCACACAAATATATTTTTAATTTTAGTTGAGGAATAACTTATTGTTTTTTCAGTTTATGTTTTATAAAGTTATATGCATGCGGAGTTTACCTTTAAGTAATTGTAGCACTTTTGTTAATACTTTTAAGTTACTCTACTAATTTGATGTGTTAGTGTTAGCAATTGTTGGTAAACCTAATAAATAGAAAAAAAAATACCACCTACACTCACTACACTTTCATCAGCCGGGCAGATCTTGGTGAACAGTCTCCGCTCTCGAAGCAGGTAAGTGCCTTCCTGTTAACTAGTCTCCCCCCTTGATTGGGATAGGATATTTCCCAGTGGCCTTTAGAGGCCCGACCTGCGTCTACTCGTAGGATTCCTTCTTGGGCCCGGGATAGCCTACCTTTGCAGAGGTAGCCGTGGGCCGTATCATATCCAATATTTTATTTAACGACATGTCTACCTTGAATGACTATAGAACGATTCTGTTCTGTTTGAGTGCGTTGTTTGCACGCACGATTTGGAGTTGGCGTATTGCGAATGTAAGTGTACGAAAAGAACTGTTTAACAATCAGCATTCGGAAACGTTTCTTCTAGTACAGTGCCAAAATACGTTTCCTATTCGTTCGCGAACTACACAAGACTATTAAGCTGCCATGAAAATTTTCCAAGAACATTACAATGTGATGCATCAACATATAGTGGTTATTTTATGAACAAAAACCAAATCAGATAAGGCTGTATGGTCCATAAACTTTTTCTTCTTTATTTGGTAAAAGCTACAACAATCTATGGTCGTCATATTAGAATAGAACTAGCTACATATCTATTATCTATTTCATATTAATATTTATCTATGATTAGAACCAAAATTGATAAGTTTTTTGATAAATTAATAAATAAATAAATGCTTAATTTGAATTCTACCGCATATAAAAAAAATATACTTAAAAATACCACGGTAATAATATGCTATTAAATTAATATAATCATTTCTATAGATTGTAATATGTTGAATGTAACAAAAGCGAGATGAATTCGAAAACGCCGATTTATCACGAAAAGCAGGTTAAAGAGCTCTGTGCATTACATGCGCTTAATAATTTGTTCCAGGTAAGCTCATGTTAAGCCCCTGTAATAGTTATATTAGGAATCTTCGTAAACAGATCATTAAATAAAATTATTTGTATATTTGGTCTATTTATTAGTTCCATTAAGTAAACAAATCTTTATAGCTCTTTTAAACATTTTATTACATCACAAGAAATGTTAAAATTGGTTACTAACGCCTCACACAAATATGTGTTGTTAGGCTTTTTTATTTAAAAATACTGCAAATAAATTTATTAGTAAATATTTTAAATCAAAGAACCATAGTGTTATGTTTCATATTGCTCAGTTTACTAATTGCCAGGTTATAAATAAATAAAAAATTATAGCTGTAAAAGTAATTTTTGATATGTCATTGTAATTACTTATTTTTATAGTTATTTTGAAATCAAATTGAATCTAATCAAATCAAAGAGAGCTTTTTAATGTATCATCCGTTATTTCCAGATGCGTAACACTTTTTCCAAGTCCGAATTGGACACAATATGCAGCCGTTTATCACCAAATGTTTGGATCAATCCTCATAGATCTATGCTGGGGCTAGGGAATTATGATATAAATGTCATTATGGCTGCACTACAAAAGAAAGGATGTGAAGCTGTCTGGTTTGACAAAAGGAAGTAAGTTTATATTAAGGATTGTTCTGATACCGATACCAATACATATATATTGGTAATATTTTGGGTTTACCCATATAGTATGGTTGTTATTTATTTTAACAATATACTAATACATGTCAAATTTTGAGCTTTGTAAAAATAACATATACATTTAGTGCTATAACACATTGATACCAATACCAATACTTATATACAGTAAAACCTGGTTAACTGGGGTCTCAATGGACCTAGAATTTCTTATCACTTTTAGAGGTTTCCTAAATTGGAACCATTTTGTTCCTTCTCTTAAAGCCTTACAACCATCCGTTATTTGCCAGAGAAATGAATAATATGCTTGTAAATATTTACTTTAATATAATTCAATATTTAATTTACTTGCAAATTTATTAAGCTTTCTCCTTAATCATTGGGCTGCTTATTGGAATGTTTTTTTATTCCATTCCTGTTTTATCCATGTCAAAAGACATTTTTCAAGGTTAGGATACTCTGCTGGTTGTAACTGTTTTAGTTTTCCTATTCTGTCAATAGATGTATTGGGTCGGCTTTAGTAATCTACGGCACGATTTAAGTGATCATTTTACCTTTAGGTGATAGGCAATGATGTTATTGATTCTCATCTTGCTGCTTTTTATGCTGGAAATTTTTAATTTTCGAGATATAGATAATTATAGTTTTGAGGTTATATCCATTTAAAAATGATACGAAAACGAAATAATATAATTATTAGAGAGTCTGTCACTGTGGGGAGGTCAAGGGGGCTTATCTCAAGCAATTTTAGCTGCCAGAGCTGCGTCGAAATATTTAAAATAATTTTCTAATAATATTCATAAATCATTAATTAATATCTGAAACTGAACTTTTGACATTGACAATCACAGATATACTCGACCAAAGAGAATATAATCACTAATTCGCGACTCGCGTCATAAACGTCATTCCGTTGCTTCTGAGTTTACATGAATGTGCTCCTTATTGTTATTATCTGCCTCCTGTTTTTCGAAGATTTTGCTACCCCTCTGAAGACCGATTGCTTGCTATTTTACGACGTTTTTAGAAATGGTGGAAGTAATAAAATATGTTTATTTATTAAAGTAATTATAAAAGTTAACATTTTGGTGTTTTATTTGGTGCTAGAGCGAGCGAAGCGAGCTCGGGACTTGGGGCACCCTGACTCGAACAGGTTAGGTTAGAAGGGGATGGCGGGATCGAGTGAGCGAGCAAAGCGACCGAACATACCCCTCCATCTCCTTCGTGGTTATTTTTTTTATAAACCATCCAGAAATAGTGCAGGGCTACTTCGACCAAGCTTCCATCTACTGCGCAATGTTGAGTAGCATTGGACTACCCTCCCCCAACTCTCTCTCCCCACAAATCAAGCTTATATTGTCAAAATCATTACGAAAACATAACCTCAAAATGCGATTTTTAAAAATTTATTAAAAAAAAACTAAGCACGTCCTGCAGTAAATGGAAGTGGGGGGTGACTCTACAACTCCTCCGCTCCTCCTTCGCCCATATATTCATGCTGCAGATTACTAAAGAAATACCGATGTATTTTCTCCTTATTTTCATTAATTCTATAAAGAGTTGACTTTGGTAAATTAAACTCCATGTACAGTTCATCACCTCACTTTCCAATGTCATAATCCAATAATAACTTTAATTTAGCAGCGACTGTTAGATAATTACACTTTTGTTTTGACATTTTGTGCACAATGTTTTGTACAAACTTTTAGATAGTACTGATATTCAAAGCAAGTATGGAAGAAATTGGTTTATTGTAAACAAGCATGTCATAACTTGTCTAAACCTGATAAATTGTCTCACTTATAGTTAGAGTATTGAGCTACAAAGACCCAAATGTAGAGGTAAACATCCAAAAAATTTACAAAATCTAATCTTATTTAACAAGGTTTGTAAATTCCCAGTAACAGAGGTATTTTAATGCAAAAGTGTCGGGACCTCATTATAATTATCAATAACAGAGGATTCTCACACATCTAGGGCATACTTAACCAGGTTTCACTGTATTGGTAACATTTTGGATTTACCCATGTATCAGCATGGTTGCTATTTATTTAACAATATACTAATACATGTCAAATTTCGAGCTCCATAAAGATAAGACACATACCAATACAAATATATTGGTAATATTTTGGATTTACCCATATTATATAAGCATGGTTGCTATTTATTTTAATGATATACTACTACCTGTTAAATTTCGAGCTTCTTAAAAATAGCATAAACATGTAGTCCTACATTATTGTTTACTTTTCAAATAATGTCTGTCAAATTATTATCACTATGATTAAATAATTTCTAAATGTCCTTAAAGTATTTGGGCTTCATATCTAGAATAACAAAAAAAAACCTTTAATAAAACCTGATATCTTAATCAATTTAAAAAATATTTTATTAGGTTTAATTTAATACTCATAAAAATGTCAAGTCTAAAATTGGTTCAAAAAGTGAGCAGTGAGTAGTTGTTCTTTTCTTATTTTAAAGTAGCTGTTTTCTGCGACTTAGCCCATTTTTATTACAATTGGCTTGACATGCTTTTTTCATTCAAATTTTACAAACATATGTAAAGTTCTCATAATATTATTTAGCAGGCCAGCAGATGAAACAACTAATATAAGCCTGTATCCTGGTTTCAAATCTGTAATTGTTCTATTTTAGTTGTTTATCAAACTGTTCTTAAATTGGTTTATGATTTGTGCTGATATCATTTCTGATGGTGGCTTGTTCTGTGCTTCAATCACTTTTTTGCTATAAAGTTTATATTATACATGGTAGAGCCGTGATGCAGCTATATTAGTAATAATAATCAACATTCAGCCTTTAGCTTTTTTCACCCATTGTACAAGCCACTGACTCAACTTAGCTATCAGTACAGCATGCACCAACCCAGCATAACAAATGCTGTGGGGGTTATCTCAAATATACCTTATTTCGTGAGTCAGCTAAACAAATTCATCTTCTCGGAGAAGAAATGCAAGCTCAAGTGCCAAAAGAAAAACCAAATATTGGGTCTTTATAAAATTAAAAACCTATAAAATTTCCGTTTTTATGAAATAAGCTAACTACTTGAATGGGTCTGCTCAACCGGGGTAGGACCACGCCCTCACAGATTACCAGCGTAAAATAGTTGCTGTGTTTCGTATGGTGAGTGTAGAGAACCAGAGACCCTTTTTACTGGAAAGGAGTCATTACATCTTAGTCCTCACAGGTGACAACACATCTGAATTTTGATTCTTTATTGAGGATAGATGTAGATGTCTGTGGGTCACAGCAACCACTCACCTTCAGGTGGACTGTGTGCTCGTTTGTCACCTTATCCTATATAAAAAAAGAAAAGATTACTTATCTAAATCTAAATTATATATATAGAATATGCATACAGAAACTGAAACAGAAACAGAAAGTTTTTATTCAATATACATAGATTATATATAATACTTATTGAAAGTCACTCTTTTGTTTAATTACCATTAAACCTTCTCCAGCAATTCAACATCTTTTTTGAATAATAGCGACTCCCGATTTGGAATGCATATCCAAAATAGGGCGAATATATATTTTATATATTTTTAGCATCATTTCTAGTGTGAGAAACCTGAAGGCTTTTTTCTAATAAGGTAAATAAAACTATTTGCTTTAGATATCACTGTAATGTGATGTTCAAATTTTAAATTGTTAATTATATGTACACCTAAATCTTTTTCTACTTTAACTGCTTCTAGATTTATATCTTCGATTTTATAGGTGAACATTTCTGTTTCCTATATTCCTACTGTATTTAGAACTGTACTACTTGTATTTGGTTTAATAAGCCACTCTTTTGACCAATCTGATATTTTAATCAGATCTGCCTAGAGGTGATAGTAGATTTAAGAATATTTTCATCTCATCAGCAATCATGTTTACATTGCAACTCAAGCTGTTAGGTAGATCAAAGGTAAATAATATAAATAATACTGGCCCAACCACAAAGCCTTGTGGCACGTCACTTTGTATTTCTTTTTCATCTTTGAATGTATTAATTTTGTAAGTTTTTGATTTGTATTGCTAATCCTTACTCTGAAAGTTCTTTGTTGTTGAAAAGCCTTAATCCAAGGTAACAGTTTCCCACGAACACCGAACAAAGCCTATCTATTGGCACTTTGCCAAAAGCTTTCTTGCAGTCCAATATGAACATGAATTTTTCAAGTGATTTTGAATTTGCCAGAAGAATTTTTATTTTTTTTAAATAAAAATTCTTTTTTTGCCCCTATTTAACCATGATCCCCATGACATCCTCTACATGATAGGCTATTCAAACTGACTAGGCCTAATGTTCGAGTCACCCCCCAACTCATTTCTAGTCTTTACTTCCAATAAATAAAATTTAAGTGTCCGTAATATTAAAATAACTAGCTTGGAGGGTTGTAGGCTATATTTTATCTGAAAACGACACTATTCCGATGATATCCCGGACGTCAATCTGAGCCAGATTAGAATGGCTCTCCAGCACCTTAAAAACGGCAAGGCCCCAGGCGAGGATAGATTATAGCGGAGCTTCTGAAAGTGGTTGGAAAACCGGTACTTGAAGTCCTTCAGAAGCTCTTTGATTCCGTCCTCCATGGTGGTACTACTCCGGAGACGTAGAGCAGAAGTACGGTGATCCTGTTCTTCAAGAATGGCGACAACGCTCTTTTGAAGACCTACAGACCGATTTCCCTTCTGAGCTGTGTCTGCGTGCTGTTTTCGAGAGTCATTACGAATCGTCTTGCACGCAGACACGTCGACTTCCAGCCTTCCGAACAAGCCGGTTTCCGAAAAGGCTTTAGCACCATAGACCACATACATACCCTTCGGCAAATTGTACAGAAGTCCGAGGAGTACAATTTGTCACTATGTCCGGCGTATGTGGATTATGAGAAAGCCTTTGAATCCGTCGAAATTTGGGCGGTGCTGCAGTTCCTTCAGCGATGCCAAGTTGACTGTAGGTATATCGAAGGGTTGAAGTGCTTGTACAGTAGGGCTACGATGGCTATCCGAGTACAGAACCAGAGTACGAAACCTATCCAATTGCAGAGAGGTGTAAGACAGGGTGACGTCATATCCCCGAAACTCTTTGCCGCTGCATTGGAAGATGTTTTCAAGCTTCTGGACTGGAAAGGATACGATATCAACATCAATGGCGAGTACATTACTCACCTTCGATTTGCCGACGATATAGTCCTTATGGCAGAATCGCTGGAGGACCTAAGCACTATGCTCAATGACCTCAATGGTGTCTCCCAACGGATAGGTCTTAAGATGAACATGGACAAAACAAAGATCATGTTTAATGTCCATGTCACACCTATGCCGGTAGTTGTTGGGAACACTAAGCTCGAAGTTGTTGACGAGTATGTTTACCTGGGACAAATAGTCCGACTAGGTAAGTCCAACTTCGACCGAGAGGTCAATCGACGGATTCAACTCGGTTGGGCAGCGTTCGGGAAATTACGGCACATCTTCTCGTCAGGTATACCTCAAAACTTGAAAACGAGACTGTACACCCAGTGCGTGTTGCCAGTGATGACATACGGAACTGAGACGTGGTCCTTCACTGCTGGCCGGATGAGAAAGCTCAAGGTCGCTCAGCGAGCTATGGAGAGGGCTATGCTCGGAGTTTCTCTGCGTGATAAACTCAGAAATGAGGATATCCGCAGTAGAACCAGAGTGACCGACATAGCCCATCGGATTAGTAAGCTGAAGTGGCAATGGGCCGGCCATATAGCTCGAAGAACCGACAACCGATGGGGAAGAAAGGTTCTCGAGTGGCAGCCTCGTACCGGCAGGCGAAGTGTAGGGCGTCCCCCCACTAGATGGAGTGACGACCTCGTAAGATATGCAGGAAGTCGATGGATGCAGGTGGCTCAGGTCCGTGTTTGTAGCATTCTTTGGGGGAGGCCTATGTTCAGCAGTGGACTTGTGAAGGGCTGTAATGATGATGATGATGATATATTTCTCAACAAAGTTTAAAGATATTACCTTTTCCTCGCCGATTAGCACTTTAACACACTTCAATTCATCACAAGGAACACTATTATCCTCCATTTTCACTAAAAATCTTTAAAAAAAAGATAAATCAACTATTATATTAATTCGCTCAAGTAAACACACAGAGTAAACATTGAATTTGCCCGGGCGTCTCCACGCTCGACTAACTTCACACCAAAAGCCGGGCTTTTGGCTCCATACTAATTGATATATAAACAATCGTAGTTACGCGTATATTTCATTATAGAACATTTTGCCACAGGTTAGAAGGGGAGCGATCGTCTTCTCAAAAGCCCGGTAAAAAGCCCACGCGTGCGCGAGAGACGACTAATCGTTCAACTCAACTCCTTTTTCATGACAGCAGTATCTCGCAGTGAAGCAATCTGCCAAGTGTTGACGTGACATAATAAGGCTACGAGGTCACGACCTTTGTAGAACAGAGGAGCGCTTTAAGACGCCCCCATAAGATGGTGTGACGACGTGGTAAGACATGCAGGAAGTCGATGGATGCAGGTGGCTCAGGACCGTGCTTTGTGGCATTCCTTGGGGGAAGCCTATGTTCAGGAGTGAACTTGTGGAGGGCTGTAATGATGATGATGATATAAATTAAACGCGATAAATTTTGTAAAATGTTACTGTGTAGTGGCGGTGTAAGAATATCCACTTCAACATATCACCTCGTGGGTGTCGTAAGGGGCGACAGAAGGAAATAAATCAGGAGATAGGCAGCAGCGTCTTCCTAATAACGACTAAAAATGAAAGACTACGGTTGCCAACCCGCTTGCCAAGCGTGGCAACTATAGAAAATCCCCCCTATGAGACAATCTATAGGGGAGGGCTATGTTCAGCATACGACTCTAATAGACTGTAATGGTAAAATCTGTAAAAATAGTTTTATTCAATGTGTAGTAGTACTAGCGAAGTTTTCATAATGACTTCCTATGAACTTAGAAACCGCTAAAATTTAGAACCGAGAGGAACCAAGTATGAAAATTTAATAATTAATACATTTGCATACTTGACACTTTCCTATTATCAATTTTTTTTATATCTGTTACAGGGATCCCGGGTGCTTGGACTTATCAAACATTTGTGGTTTCATACTCAATGTACCGTCGGATTACAAGTTGGGGTTTGTTATGTTGCCACTTCGTCGCCGCCATTGGATTACTATCAGGCAAATCCAAGGCAGCTTCTACAACCTGGATTCAAAACTTGATGCACCCAGTTTAATAGGGCGGGTATGTCTAGTTTAACCGCGATTATTTTTATTAGAATCATTGTAAAGTAAATGAAATAGTTAATAGATGTTAAAACACACAAACGAATGCTCCAATTTGTACCCCGGGTAGGAGAGGTACGAAATATCAGCCGGAGAGGAAACCTGCGTCTCGGTCAGAAAGAGCAAGGCCGGCTTCGCCGTCTCGAGATGGTAGTGGACGGCGTTTAGGTTAGGTTCTTGCTCAGTTTGCCCCGAGCAGTTATGTTTTTGAGCGGAATTTTGCCCCCCCCCCCCCCAGAATACGCGGGGCAGCCTGAGCACCCACGCTCAGGATCGGAATAACATGGTCGTGGATGCTCAGCGAGGGATTCTCCAGGGGTACTGGTACCCTCCTGGGGTAGTCTATCGTGTAATTCCGCTACGATGTTGATGGGGGGGGGGGGGGGGGGGAATTGGGCCTCCGGCCACCTGCACTCACCAGACGAAACGCAGAAGCAGAGCTTCTACTTCACGCCGGTATTCTGTGAGGTCGTGGTACCAACCCGGCTCGAGCCGGCCCATACGTGCAACAGCAAAAACTGCTGCGTGGCTCTACCACCGTTAAATTCTTCTGTTTTTATGGAATTATCCCAAATTGAATTTGATTTATGGGCAACAACTACGCATGTGAGCGCTTCTCTGTGTGGGATTTAATTTACAACGATTTTATCGACCATAGTCAAATAGTAGGCGTTAGATATTTATGACTTAAAGTTAAAATAATGAATTACCACGCATTCTGAATTTAAAAGATAAAAAGGACAGAATATTTGAGATGTTTTAAAGTAATTTTTCTTCACCATTCGCCTATATCACTTATTCTTAACCTTCTCTGCAAATTTGGCCCTATATTGCAAAATAACCAATAATAAGAGATAAATATATAAAACTATTTTTGATGCTCACTTTTGTTGTTACCACTCTATTCAATTCAGTCAACTGTTCAATTCAACTGTTCTTTTGTCTATGCCGGGTATTATACAATCTTATCCAATATTTTTATTTTTATTTTTAGAGTGCAGACCTGATAGTATATTTAAAAGAACAGCTAGAATGCAAAGAGAAGGAATTGTTCGTGGTTGTGAGTAAAGAAGTTGAAGAGAAACAGCTTTGGATGCATCAGTACACCTTTCAGAACCACCATGCGCAAGAACCTGGGCATAATGTGCACCAAAACCACTGTGATATTACACCTGACAGTATATCATCCAATGATTATATAAGTCGAGACGCTGAGTGTGTTAAACTAACAGAAGTGACAAACTGTGTTGACAGCAGAGAAAATAATGTTTAGGTGTGACTGATGCTACTTGTGGTAAAAACAATATTGGACGGCTCAGTATTTTTCAGTCTATGTATTTAATCGGAAAAAAAATTGTTATTTTAATTGAGATTTCTTTTCGCACATTGAAGGAAACTCATAATTATTACGAATTTTATCGCGTTAAATTTACTTATTTTACCACGTTTTTATTAGTCACTTTCTTGGTTGTCTGTCGTTCCGGATGGAATTTAATAATTGATTTTTAAACTAACTTCCCAATGAGCTGGAAACTTGAAATTTTAAATATAGCTCAAATTTGGATGATAATCAAGAATATGATAAAATAATTAAAAAATTTAAAAGCTTTTTTTTTAAAAATTATTTGTTTTGTATTTATTCTCCCGACGTATGTTGGTTTGCGACACCAATTTTCATCCAATCTAAAGAGTTACCTTGAGACGAGGGGTACTGCGAAGCTCCCGAAGCTTCGTCTGTAATAATTAGATGCATTTTCAATACATTGCAGTACTACAAAAATTAATTATTCAGTACAAGTCCATAATTAAAAGCATTGCATGCTTTGTTAAAAAATTTATATTTGGGATTTTGTCAATTCTTATTTGAAAGTAATGTAACTAAAAAAAATTATTACTCTACCATCTATTTATTGTTTATAGTGATCTAAATGCAATACTTGCAGATGTATGTGGAGTACTTAAGTACCTATCCATATTTTGTGCTTATTTCTAATTACAATTTAGAATTGAAGTTTTTTCTTTTGTTATAATGTTGGTTATTATTTTGTTAAGCTAAAATATTTTGTTTTTAAACAAATTTTGTAGTACATAATCTATATGCATTTACTGTGAAACTGTTGTTGTAAAATATACTTATTAATTTGGTTCTATTTCGTATTTTTGACTAATAGGTCGCCATATTATATCTAAATTATAAATGCATGTGTATGTAAGTTATAAGACTGTTAGAATTGTATTGGATCTTTCTCCTTGTATCATAGAGGGACATATGACTAGTAGCAGATGTTTTAACGGGATGGAGTGAAATGAGCACAGAACTATACAATATAGTATTTTTTTATTTTCGTCAATAATATCAAAATAATGATGTTGGTTTTTATGATTCTTCTTTTTTTTAAATAAGTTCTATATTTTATGTCTGTTTTTATCATTAAAATATTGTTGATTTTTTTCGGGGGCGTTGAAATTTATTTTATATTGTATAGGGTTTTTAGTTCATGTATCTGGAAAATAACGAAAATAATAAATTGTATTTAAAAAAAAAACCGTATTAGAGCAGCAGTGAATACAATATTAGTCTAAAACCTGCATAATAATTACCTCAAAGGCAATTTTATATAATATGGTATAGATAATGCCTCACTAAGCCAAATACAACAACCAAACAGCTGATAGGATAATTCTCGACATATTATGTAAGCATGTAAGAAATCTGAGACATCAGGGTAATATTTTTTTTTTACATTTTTGTTTACATAATATATCTTCTGACGGAAATTAAATATATTTTGTTTTATTGTAATTTGTGCAAATTTTAATAAAAAAAAGAATCGGTTTTATTCTGTTAAATGTGTACTTAGCTAAATAATTTATAGATATACATAATATTTACAAAAACAAATCGCGTACTTGAAGAAGTGCATGATTATGCTTCAACAGTTGTGTACACAAATTAGATAAACTTTTTTTTTCAGTTTTTTCATTTTAAAGTTAACTAATGAAAAAACTAAATAAATGATCATTTTTACCAGCTCAAACAATATTTTGAAGTAATTTTCTCTATTTTTAGAGAATTTGTTCATTTCTTTCTTTCGTACATCTTTAAATACACAAGTATTTGCTTTATAAAGTTTAAGATGGGTTTTATTTTTATTTTGTCTTTTTCTTTTACTTGGTTAGTTAATTCGTCTTGTGTATAGTGATAAAAATGCCTTATTGGTATAATAACATTTCTAAACACAGTGGAAATGCTTTTTAAATGTAAACCTCGTGTTTTATGTCTTTTAAAATATAACTCCTATTAAAATATTAACTTACAAAGTACACGTTCTCTTGAATGTTTCCTTAACGAGCATGGTATTATGGTTTGCGAGTGTTTTATAGGTATTATAATCATAAAGTTTAGTCTGTGATACCACGAAAATAAAGACAAACACCACATACTTAAAAATTCGTCTAGGCATGTAGTGTATAGGAGGAAGAAAAGTAATATGTCACGGAAAAACAACCCTTCTGAGCATTCAGGTATAAAAGGTGAATACTTACCTGCTAGCAAAATTTCATATTAAAAAAAAAACATTTTTTTGTGATTGTTGCATACATGTGCCAGCTGTCGGTCCTGCCTTGGGCTAGTTTGTTATAAGTGCCAGCCTCTGCAGTAGTATTCATCATCGCATCACCGAATATTTTGAAACTGTCATGAGTCAATAATAAGTGTTAAGGAACCTTCAAATTAAGTCAAGGATTCCTTACGTTAAAAGACTTAGCACTGCTTTCTCCGATGTTTACATATATTTTGTTCAGCACAAGATAAATTACTTTATATGAAACTTTTTTGCTTATTATCGGGAAATAAAGGGTCTAAATAAAATTGTATTGAGAATTCCATAACTAGCCTTACATATTGGTTATCGCTTAAAACTAATAAAATTTATATCTGTGACATATTCATCCGTTCCTGAATAACATACCTACATATTCATAATTTTTTACACCAGTCTAATTGTGCGTATAGTATAGTTCAATCAGAAAAAAAAAACGTGAAAACGTATGTTGTGTGAATAAAGCCTTATTGTTATTTGGTCAGTGGTCTTCGGTTTAATAACTTTTACTGTATTGTTTCTTTTTGTAAATATACATTACTATATTTTCTAAAAAAAGAATGTGTGATAAAACGATTGTTTTGTTATTTAATTGCATCCCCTCTTTACATTCCCTCCATAGTTGGAAAAATGTCAGTGGCGTTTAGAGGTTATTCAGTCATGTATTTTTTACGTGGTAGAGCCATGCTGCAGCTATATTAGTGGTATAGTTGTAACACGAATGGGTCAGCTTGACCACGACCACGCTCTCACAAAATACCAGCGTAAAATAGCAGCCTAATGCTTGTGTTTTATATGGTGAGTAGAGAACAGGAGACCCTTTTTAATGGAAACGAGCCATTCCATCTTAGTCCTCACGAGTGACATCACATCTGATTTTGATACGTAACCGAGGGTAGATGTAAATGTCTATGGGCCACAGCAACCACTTACTATAAGGTGGACTGTGTGCTCGTTTGTCACCCTTATACTATAAAAAATAACTATGTAGTCGATCCGACTGCCATGCGTGACAACTAAGGCAAATCCTCTACAGCCATACAATGGTAGAGGCCCGTGTCTAACAGTAAACTTTTACGAGTTAACAAAGAAGAAGTTCATTCTGATCGACTTTCCTTAGGGATTACATTTTGACCTAGAGCCCTAGACGAGGTTTGTTCACCAGTGTAATGTCGCACTCTGTCTTGGTCGGGCTGAAGTTAGTCCCGAGTGGATGCGCAGATATAGTTTATAGGAACAAAGTGGTGACAAGAGGAGAGGGAGGGTAGGCGGTAACTAAAACGAGAGATGCGAATACGTACGCATAAAATATTGCGCGGTTACGCGGTTAAATAATCGAATATCGTTTATTATCGATTACGATTTCCTTTTACTTTACCTATATTTTTATGGTTCATTGATGTGTTAATTGTGATAATGATGATGTGAATTAAATATTTCAATAAAAAATTCAAAGTTATATTATTTTGAAAAAGAAAGAAAAAAAAAACATTTATTCACGGTCTAATCACAATAGATACAAAACAAAGCCAAAAAATGGAATTAAACAGAAAGTAAAACAATATTTCCCTACATTAACAAAAATGTAAAAATAATATAAAATGAGTCTGTGTAGCAGCATAAGACCGTGAAATGGACAGGACTCAGTAAAAATCGAGATACAGAAACACGAATTGCTCTGATCCCGACACTGGTTTTCAGTCCGGCCCGCACTCCGAGGTAACTCGGACGGCTGCCTCAGTGCACATGCTATAATGCGACGCGGAATATATAAAAAAAATATGTGTTTTTAAATTTTTATTCACATGAATAGTGGATATCATTAGTCTAATGAAGGTAAGTACACAATAGAATTAACGTTTTCCTTCTAAATATATCAATTTTATTTATTAAGAATGCGGAATAAACGTTGGCTAAAGAATAAAGGTAAGAAAATGATTGTCAGAAAAAATAAATTTATTATACAAATATTTAAATAAAATAGTTTTATATATTATATAAAGTGAAAATTAAAATATCTACATAATTTATGGGACTGAGATTACTGACGTGTTGAAAGAACTTAACCTCCTACCAGTTTTTTTTATAGATCGGTATTTTTTTGTTCCGAAAGTAAGTGTAACCTGTATTTGATTTTAAACCCACTAATTGTTTTCAGGTCACGCAGTGGAGGCGGGAGGTTATTCCAACATTTAGTGGCATTATATTTAAAACTACCTTTTGGAGTTATTGTAAGAATTTGTTGTCCCCGCCAATATCGTGTGTTTATTATATATTAAAACTATTTATCGAAATACTTTATTAGATACTATGGTTTAATTGGAATACGTAAAGCCATTTCAATTATAATAATAATTTTCAATTTATTCTGTAATCGATATACAAAACTAATAAATAATGAAGTGGCACATCTCTATCGACTAGCGTCTGTACCAGGAGCGTTTGCAGCGCCGTATCAGCCATATCAATGATACGGGGCCCCCGGGTTACAGAGGCCCCGAACGTATGTAAGCAAAAATTCTAAGGACTTTTATGGGACAGGATGTTGGTTTGAATTGTTTGGCTAGCTTAGTTCCTAGGAGTATTAATTATAAGTAATAACTTATAATTAATATATAATTATTTTAATTCAATGTGAGCTTTTCTTCCTTTTGTGAAAAATCTTTACCCTTCATTTGGGCCCCCCCGATAAATTTTGATACAGGGCCCCCTCTAAGGCACGCTGCTCGACTGGCCTGTACCATGGTGTACATGCGCGAGTGTCTCGGTAAGCCAACTTCAGCCCAGCCAAAATAGAACGCGCGGTCCGAATATGGGTGGGTAATGTAGGTAATGTAAGCAAGGGGTTAAATAAAACACAAGGTTCAGTCTAATTAACAATGTTTATGTAGGAATCGGTACAATTGCTGTTCTTGGAGAGCATAAGACGATCGGGATCGAGCCCCAGCTGCTGCAGCACTGCGTAGATCTGCGCACGAACGTTTGCCTCGATTTCGCGTCGTCGCCCCAGCACCCACATACGGTCTGTGGAAGTCGTTCAGAAAATCATTAAAATGAGCCAAACTGTTCATATTTAGTGTACTTTTTTAACACATTAGAGCTGGACCTATCTCACAACAAACGGATTGATTGCCTTAGACGTTGAACTGGATAGATCCCTAAGAGTCTACATATGAAAATGTTGTCCCGCTGGGTTTCTCGCTGGTTCTTCCTAGGATAGCTTTTTTCCGAACCAGTGGTAAAGCTTAAATGACATTCAATAAGTATTTTTATAATCTGTATTGAATGAAAATAATTACATTCTACAAAATAAATTACCTTTGCGTTTCGATATTCAAAAAAAAATGTAAATATTTCACGCTACGTGCAGGTCGTGGTTTTCTTCCTCAACATCGTATGATAATTTAAAAAAAAAACAACGGAACGTTAACAAAATAAATATTTTTTCAAATGTTAACTGCGAGCAAAAATAAGCAGTAGATTTTTATTTTATCAACGTTGTTGTGTTTGGGTGAAAGAAATTAACTAATTGCTAAAAAGCAATCTTTAATATGAGTTTTTTAATTTGAAGATTTTTAATCAATTTGACAAATGCATGTTTGGCAATTAGAAACATCGATGTTTTTTATTCATCAATGTATCGTTTGCTTCTTTTTTTTAACTTTAAACTTTTTTTTATAGGATAAGGGTGACAAACGAGCACACAGTCCACCTGATGGTAAGTGGTCGCTGTGGCCCATAGACATCTACATCTATCTTCGATTAAGAGTCAAAATGCAGATGCGTTGTCACCCGTGAGGACTAAGGTGGAATGCCTCGTTTCCAGTAAAAAGGGTCTCCGGTTGTCTATACTCACCATACGAAACACAGCAGCATTAAGCTGCTATTTTACACTGGTATTCTGTGAGAGCGTGGTCCTTCCCCGGTCGAGCCGACCCATTCGTGCTACAAGCATAATATAGATGCAGCATGGCTCTACCTCGTATGAAACTAAACGGATTTATGCCACTATTTCACATTGGTATTCTGTGCAAGTGTGGTTCTTCTCCTGTCAAGCCGATACACTCTTGCTGCAGCCGTAACACCGCAATGTAGTTCTACTAGTAGAAAGTGTTGAACTCACCCGAATGAGCGATACTGACACTTGTACAGGACCAGATGAGCGCAAACTGATCGTAGTCAGTTGCTAGAATGTTGTACTGTCCCGCGCCAGGTAACAGTCGTCCAATGACATACGGCATTCTGTTGTTCAAGCGATAGCGAAATGATGATGCACCCGTGTGACTCACGATGCCCACACCATATGTTGTTGACGGACTACCCGTCCTGTGAAATTATAAATAATTATTTATGTTTTGAATATGTTCATTAATATCCTTAATTTCGTAAGGATGACCTAGAGTAATGCTAAGCGCGTACGTAGAGCTTCAAAACGCATGGTACATGTGTGGTTGTGCAATGCGTGTAGTCCGCGGAACGTCCCCATGCATAGCATCAGTATTGCTTAGTTTGGTTTTAGAACAGTGTGTAGCATTTACAGTGTCCGTGTGGAGCACAAATTATAAAGTTGTATGTACAGGAGTTTGGAGTTTGAAGAGAATGGTGGTAAAAGTATGGCGCGGTCAATATCGTTTTGTTATGCGAGTAGCGAATTTTCCGAACCGATACGACTTAGGAACCTTCAAGAAAAGAGCTTACACCTTTCTAAAAGGCCGGCAACGCATCTGCAATTCCCCTGGTGTTGCGGTTGTTCATGGGCGGCGGTAGTCACTTACCATCAGGTGAGCCGCAAGGTCGTTTGCCCCCTATTCTATAAAAAAAAAAATGCATTTCGAACTTAACGGAATGGCCTAAGTGTATGATTTTAAATATTTTTAAAAATATCGGAATAATTTATAACGGTATTTTTTAAATATTTCCATCGGAGTTAAAAAATATATCGACATATAATTGACCCTTTTTATGAAAAGAATACTCCAATAACTTACCGCCCTACACTTTGCTTAGCGGTGTGGGGCCGCCACTTGAAAAACTATCTTCTCCATCGGTTGTCTGTTCTTTGAGCTATATTATGGCAGAACTATTGTCACTAGCTTACCGATTCTCGGGCTTGGGGTTGGGAGACTTAGGTACATTGGATTTGGATCCAGACGACGTGTAGGTATAATACACTACTGTCCTTAAGTACCTCTAAATCTCACTCAAAATCTCCCCCGGAAAGGTTCCTGCGGTCTTTAACTTAGACATTCCGATCTTTCCGGAAAACGGCAGACAGAACTCTGGCAAAGACTTCGGAACCTTGGTTCCGCTCAATCGCTTTTTTATTACGAGTAATATCAAAGTACGTTTCATGCATTTGGAGATCAGTCTGTGCTGTAATATCTGTGGAAGACTGCAGATTCGTGTCCCATCCATCAGTCATGAGATAAGAGTGTCATAGGAGAGTTTTTATGTTCTTCTGCGATGGGTTTTAACGATAGGCATTTCATTTATACCGTCCACTGTATTTCAATCTTCCAGGCACTGAAAGCGATTTAGTAAATCGAGCTATACTTTTTGGGGACTCTGGATTAGCGCACGAAGGGACGCATTGATTTCTTGATGTGTTGATTCTGTGTTAAGGTACGCAACTCTTGTCGACACAGTCCTGATCTTGACTAAGTAAATTGTTAATAAGTTAAATTGACATCATTTTTGGACAGACGGTAATATAAAAAGTTAGCAGATTCCAGGAATAACGTGTCGGTGTCTCCAGACCACAGGTAACACTACAATATCCCAGAGTGCTTGTCTATCTCTCCTTCCAGGGGGATGCTTCTGTCCATCTCATCGCTTATCCCCTGTTGCGTCTTATGACAGACAGACACGATTTTAGTTTTGTATTATATAATTTTAGCTAATAACGTTAATCTAGTAAGAAATGCTGCATTATGCATGCGGTGTACACCCATTATTAAGTGGCGAAGCTTGCGAAGTCACTTATTGATTTCACGATGTCTGTCCGTCTGTCCGTCTGTCCCACGATTATCTCGAGAACGGTTTTTAATTTTCAAATTCTGTTTTCAGCAATCGATTACTGATCACCCAGGCATCTGAACCTCCTATTTTGAAACTGATTGCTCAACGGCAACCGTTAGAAACCGCTACAAAGCTGATTGCTTCGCCACTTTGCTATGCTGTTAGCTTGCTAGGTTTATTAAATGTGCACTTAGTTTATATAGTTAAAAGTTTTATACAACCGACTTCAATATAAATAAAATGAGAACATCATCAATGTAGTCGAAGTCAATTAAATACGCATTATTAAGGATAACTCAAAAACTATACTGGTTAGATCTTGATCAAATTTATATAGGACCAATGAGAAGCACCAGCTTTCAAATAAAAAAGAATCATCAAAATCTGTTCACCTAGAAAAAAGTTCTTAGGTAACACACAAAAAAAATTGAGTCGGATTGAGCACCTCCTCATTTTTTGAAGTCGGTATAAATATGGGGTAGTAGATTCTCAACCGAGGGTGACACTGAAAGTTCTTAGAAAATCAAAAACTGAACAAACTAACAAGTTATTAGTTTTATTATATCTTTTCAAAATAGTGTCCTTGTACATCAATACATCGCTGTATCCGATGGAACCACTGAGAAAAGCACTTTGCCCATTCGTCCTTAGCGTTCTCTTCGATGGCATTTTGAAACGCAGCCACTGCTGCCTCAGCGTCCATAAAACGTTTTCCTCGAAGTTTTTCTTTTATTTTCGGAAATAAATAAAAATCGCAAGTTGACCCAGTAATTCCACGTCTGACGTCGCCAAGTAGTCGATTGTTTGCTTTGCGGTGTACGACAAGGCGTTGTCGTGGTGAAGGAGGATCCTACTGCGAGGTCGATTCTCCCGAACTTTTTCCAAAACAGGTGGCAAACAATTGATAGTACCACTCTGCAGTAACTGTTTTTCGATCGTCTAAAACAATTGTTGCGTAATGACCTGTCCTTCCGAAGAACGAGGTCGAAGCGTGGGAAAAAATATGGTGGCCTCATATTTTTTCCCACGCTTCGACCTCTCTTCACTTTAGTTGGCAACTCCTCGGAAGGAAACACCCAGGGAGCAGACTGTCTCTTAGTTTCAGAATCATAACAAGAAATCCAGCTTTCGTCACCCGTAAGTATGTCGAACACAACATTTGAGTCACATCCCTTAAATCTTTGAACCAATTTACTACACCAATCAACACGACGAAGTTTTTGGGCCTCTGTCAAATTATGAGGTATACAACGGGCACAAAGCTTCCTGACTTTTCCTGAATTTTGTGCACATGACTGATACCGATGCCTAAGCTTGTCCGAATCTGCTGATAAGTCACTCTTTTGTCAGTCTTTATCATACATCGCACAACACTGATGTTATCTTCAGTAGTCGCCCTAGAAGGCCGTCCCTCGCGCAGATATTCGGTGAGATTAGTGCGATCACGCTTAAACTCATTAAACAAGTTGTAAACAATGGAACGAGATGGGACTTCATCGTGAAAGGCCAATCGAAGTCTATCAAATAACTTTCTTGTTGACTTAAATGACATTGAAAGTCATAAAAAATCATTGTACGAAAATTTTCTATCGTTAAATTCATGCTGACGTGAGACAAACAATTTTCAATTTGCCGCGAAATCGTAAACAAATGGCAAATTAATAAAATACATACACAATAATATTGGCAAAGAGTTCTATTTTCAAAATTAGAATTTATATTTTTATTACATTGTTTACAAGTGGCCAGTTCTAAAAACTTTCTTCATCAGCTCTTAAAAGTTCAAGTCCACTCTGTGTAGGGAGGATTTGGATAGTATAGTCACAAGACTTTGTCTTTAGTAGTAGATAGTAATATTCTGGTGAAAATTATCAAAGAGATTATTTTAATATCTGATAATATGTGACAGCAGACGGCAGTTGGTCCGACAACACGCTACGCCGAACGCACTGCTCTGAAATCAGCGTACTTGTAATAGGAAACTGTATTAAAATGTACATAACCACTACCCTTATAGAACTTTTTAATGCAATGTATGATACACAAAAGGTACTTAAGTACATAATATCCTATTCTTTCATATACTCTGGTCCTGAGTCCTGGCACATATTTTCCAAACAATATATCTTTGTACACATTTCAAATAAACGCAGCAAATAAGATATATATAATTAAAATGGCGAAAATACCTGTGACTGTGACACGTACCATCTATTCGTGGTGTTGATTGTGATGAGCAAATAGCCACGTTCATTCAAGTCGACGTCAAGTTCTGTACAGCTTGCCGACATTTCCATTAGGTAGAAAGATCGCTCTACTTCGTACCATTTGCCGGTCATCTGTTAACACAAAGTTAAAAGCGTTTTGACTAATTTCTATTCTTCTTTTTCATCTTTTTTGTTATAGAATAAGGGTGACAAACGAGCACGCAGTCAACCTACTAAGTAAGTAGTTGCTGTGGCCAATAGAAATTTACATTTATCCTTGATTTAGAATCGAAATACAGATGCGTTGTCATCCCTGAGGACTAAGATGGAATGCGTCGATTTCAGTAAAAATGGTCTCCGGTTGTCTACACTCACTATACGAATACGAAACACAGCGGCAGCAGGACATTAGGTTGCTTTTTTACGCTGGTATTCTGTGAGAGCGTGGTCCTACCCCGGGCGAGCCGACCCATTCGTGCTGCAAACATAATATAGCTGCAGCGTGTCTCTACTATGTTGTTTATTTCATCAATACGTAAGAGTCTACTGCTGGAACCACGCCTCTCCCGTTAAAGAGAAAATTTGTCTAAATTGTCACCGATTTGTAAAATTGTCGCAGTATTAGATGTTACACATTGGCGCTGCTTCCAGTCGCAGTTCTTTGTATTAACACCTGGCGTAAACGAGACGGATTTACCATTACATCTCATAATCGATGCTAAAAGCATCCATCCGTCCATCCATCCATACAGCCTATAAATTTCCATTGCTAAACATTAGTATATAGATAGATGGAGTCTCAAACAGCGGATTTTGTCGTAGTTATCATGCTCGGCAGGCGATTTGACTTTTTTAATTATTTTGAATTATTATTAGAAAGATGCCACTGCCTATCTTCTGTTTCACTTTCCCTCTGTCTGCTCTTACGACACCCACGGGATGATATAGTGTAGTGGATATCCTTACATCACGCCAAACGCCAAAATAGTTACTAAATCTAATAATTTAAATAAAATAAAAGTGTCTGTCTGTAATATTGAAATAACTGGTTGGTTTTAAAGTTCAGGGGATTTGAATGCTAGTAAGACATAAATAACCATTTATAAAATTTTTGTCTGTCTGTCCGGGCTTATCTTCGAAAGGGCTGAACCGATTGTGATGAATCTTCACGACCTGATGGAGATCAAGACTATATTTTATCGGAAAACATGCATAATTTTTTAGTGAAATCGTAAAACTGATAAAATAAATGGTTTATGATGATTAACTAGTATGTAAACTTTAGGTACATACAAGAAATTAAAAAAAAATTTGAGAAAACTTTTTTGATTTGCACTTTATCTCCTATCTTTAGATTTGCACTTTTAACAGTGGTAGAGCCAGGCGGCAGCTTTTGCTGTCGCACGGATGGGCCGGCTCGAACCGGGGTGGTACCACGACCTCACAGAATACCAGCGTGAAGTAGAGGTTTACCTCTGCGTTTCGCTTGGTGAGTGCAGGTGGCCGGAGGCCCTTTTTACTGGAAATGAGGCATTCCATCTTAGTCCTCACGGGTGACAACGCATCTATATTTTGATTCGCAAACGAGGATAAATGTAGATGTCTATGGGCCACAGCAACCACTTACCATCAGGTGGACTGTGTGCTCGTTTGTCACCCTATCCTATAAAAAAAAAAAAAAAAAATATCTCTTAAAGTATTTATGCAAACTTGATTTATACAAATTTTAACTTTTACAGCATTTTATAACAAAACTACAAGTGTTAAAGGATAAAGTGATAAGACCTTTTTTACGTAAAATTAATAGATCTTCAATCGAGATAATAGCAAAAAAAGCGTTTTCGATAATTGAACTGTTGTCGATTGTTTGTATTGTCTTGTTCAATTTCATATGCATGGTCCATATCTTGTTCATCACCGTCAATGTCATTCCGCTGTGAAGTCATCACGTCATACTCAAACAAAAATGGCAAACTCTCCTAAACTAAGATGTTCTAGATGGCAAGGCAACATATCTAGGTATCAAAAATATTTTTATACGATTCCGAAGCATCATTGTCAATTGCATTACTGCAACTGAAATTTGCGTTTCACAGGTAACGATTCCGTTACCTACTATGTTTTTTGGCGACGTGAAATAATATTTCCAAAAAAATATTCCTTGTTTAAAAAATATGATAATTTCTCAAAGATAAAGATACTTATTAGAATTAATAAAATAAAGAATTAAATGTTTAATTTTTTGCATTAACTTAAAGATATGTGATAAGAGATAAGATGCATAATCACATGAGTAAAGAAACCGACCTTTACTCTGTGGCATAATGGCTAGATAAGATAGAAATGTATTATATACTAAACAGAGATAGTTATAGTTTTAGAATGAAATGGCACTAGCCTCCTATAGTGAATAGGGGGTCGTTCTAAGATTAGTTGTTCACCTTGTAAGGGTATTTATCATAGTCAAATTATAATACCAAAACATAATAATTTTAATTGTTTAAAGAGATAACTGTTTTCATGTAAATTTCAGTAATGTATGAAAATGTATCTAGCAAATATTTCATTAAATAATAAGATAAGAAATGTGTTAAAAGCATTTAATTTTACTAATATAATAACGAAATAGTAACAAAATTGTATAAAAAAATTAAAGACATTTTAATAGTAATAAAAAGATTTAATTTGTGAATTAAATGGTTGTATTGTTTAAGAGACTCAAGAGATAGCTTGTAAATTCTCTATGTTTTGTCGAATATTTTATTATTGCTTTATGTGATATTAATGTTTTAATTATTATTGTAATGTGTCTTTATTGTGTTTTATGTGAAATATAAATGTATAATGATATTGTGATGGGCAATGCGGCAGTAGCGTAATCGGCCTGTAGCTGGCAGCTCTACGCCTGTCCTTCCCGGGTTTCGGCAACACGATGACCTTGCCGATCTTCCAATCCTCCGGGAAGTGGGATGTCCGCAGTATTCCATTGTAGAGACGACCTATCTCTACTAATGTCCTGTTGGACAGCTGTCGAAATGCAGCGTTGGTAATCCCGTCGTGCCCCGGCGTCTTCTTCGGTTGCAGGCGGGTCACTGTCCTCCGCAATTCAGCAGGGGAGATGTACCACTCTCCTGCAAGCTGTGGCGCGGGCGACGACAGGATATCCGCTCTACCCTTGGGATCATAACAGCCTTCGCCCGCATTGTTGGTCAGCGGGCGGGTCTTGTTTTAGTTAACTGTCGGTTCAATTTATGAAGCGACGCATCTTGCTCTACCGCTTTCACTATGCGGCGCTCCCAGGTCTCTCCTCTGTGGGCCTGTATTGCAACAGATAGTTCATCCGTAAGTTGGTTGAGTTGCGTCTTCAGTCTTAGACAGCGAGTACGCGCCCAGAGCTTCCTCAGCGCCCTCTCGCGCTTTATTTGTGCGCAAATGTCACGCCGTAAGACGTCCTTTCTAGTGGTTTTTGGGACGATCGTAGAGGCCGCGTTGAGGACTTCTTGGATGTTTCTTGTTATCTTGTTTGCAGCGGCCTCTTCGTCACCCGCTGTGTAGATCGGAGTATAGATTGGAGGTCTCTCCTGCAGATGTTGGTGGTAGAGCCTCCAGTCGATTCTGGTCTTGAAGGCTCTGGGCGGCGTAGTAACTGCCTTGAGACCAAGGGTAATTAGTATCGGGAGGTGCTATGTGTTCAGGTCGTACAGCACCTCTACCACTATCGGGCAGTTGACGTTCCTAGAGACTGTCCAGTACGTCTGGACTTCTGCGTGTGTCAGTAGGAACGTGAGTTGGTTCCTCGGGACCTAAAACGTCGTAGTTATTTTCCTCCGCATCTTCATAAAGTACACGACCCGGCGGGTTGATCAGTCTAGACCCCCACGCCGGATGTTTGGCGTTTAGGTCCCCGGCGATGATGGTAGGCGTTGTGCCTTCCATTATCGTCCGGACATCTGAAGAGTGAAATGGAGTCCCTGGCGGGCGGTAGATCCTTAGTTAATCGCCCGCCGCCTCCATTTTTATGCAGATAGAGCGTATCGTACCGTACGGAGTTCATGGATCCTCTGTTGTATTCCGTCCGGGTTCCAATAGAGGAGACGCAGGTTACGGTTACTCTCCTCCGTAATGCCGAGCCAGTAGGGTTGCCAGCGCCTTCATTACGGCGGTTATGGGGTCTGTCCCGGCCCTAATATCGGCCAGGTCTAGGCTACCGACCTTGATAGCTATGCCTACCAATCTTTGGATGGCATCGGCTGTCTCGAGGTCGATAGATGGTGGTTAAGTTGATGTTGATGGTACTGGTCTCGGGATATTGGTTCTTGCTTATGTCCTTTGGGTAGAGCATGCTCTATGTGTAGAGCGGGTTCTATTTTCTGATAGAGCCCTTTCCGGCGCTCTACCCTCGTTGGTTTCACTCCTAGTAACCTGCGCCTTTATGGCTGTCTTTACTAGTGGTGTCGGGGTAGAGGTCACAGCCTTAAGAGGAGGAGGCTGTTTCTTGTTCTTCTTCCGCCTGACCCGCTTCCTCTTCTTTGTGGGCTGGCGCTCTGTAGCGTCGTTAGCGGGGGGCTGGAGAGTCGCCTCGGTGGTTGCCTTCGGTTCTGTGGGTTCCACCGTTTCCATTGGTGTTACGGATGAGGGGGCAGGCGATTGCCTACCCTTTACTCTCACGGTAGACCACCCGTCTTCCTGGATTGTGACCGCTCTTGTGCGACCTGCCTCCTTGCGACCCTCCTAAGGACTGGGTAGCGACGGTCGTTTGCTGTATGGTTCTGGGGGCAATTTGCGCATTTCGGCTCTTCCTCTCTACCCCGAGGACAAAAGGCGGCGATATGCTCCCCGGCACAGCGAACGCACTTCACTGGCCTGAAGCAGTTGGTGGAAGCGTGCCCGAAAGCCTGGCAGTGATGGCATTGTGCCGGTCCTGTTCGTTTCTGCCAGGCATCGATGACTACTCCTCTCATATAGAGGAGACGAGGAGGTCGATATGGTAGAATTGATTTAGCTGCTCCAGGCTCAGGTGATCTAGTTGTGCGAAGTAGCTGCATCCCGGTCTACCTCTACGGGGTGGGATTACCTTGACGAACTGGATCGGGAAGCCCTTGACAGCCTCCTCTATGGACTTGGTGTTTGTG